AAAAAAAAAAACCCGAACACATAAAGAAAAGGTTAGTGTAGGGACTGGTGAGGCTGGTCAGGTGACAGGGTGCTTGGCCAGCATGTACAAAGCCCTGGGTTCCCGACCCAGCATCACATAATACCGGTGGGCATGTCATCCCAGCCCTTGGGAAGCAGAAGCAGGAAGATCAGACATTCAAGGCTGTTCGAAAGTTCAATGCTGGCTTAGGATACTGGAGACCAAGTTTCAGGGAAAAAAGTTTTAAAACATGAGGTTTAGCCCGGCATGGTGACACACACCTTTAGTCCCAGCACTTGGGAGATAGGGGCAGGCAGATCTCTGTGAGTTTGAAGTTAGCTTGGTCTACATAGCAAGTTCTAAGACAGCCAGGACTGCGTAGAGAGACCCTGTCTCCAAAAAAAAAAAAAAAAAAAAAAAGGAAATTAAAAAATCAAATAAAAACAGGAGGTTTTAGGTCTTTACACCCATTGACACTGGGCAGAGGTGTTACTGACTGGATACCAACCTCGGGATGTTACCCCCGGGCTTGTTTGAGGCATGCTGCAGAGTTGTCCTTTCTATATCACAGAGACGCCCAGGAAGAGCTCTGAAGCAGGCTGGAGTTCTCCAGTGTAAGCATAGCTGTGGCTACGAACCACTAACGGTCCTTGGCAGCTGAGCAACTTAATTGGCTAAAATCTAATTATGACTGTCCCACCTTCCCCAGACTTTGCTGTACCATAGGAAAAAGTTTCTGTGACAATCAGACTGAAGAAGTAAACCCCCAAATTAAATTAGGAGGTCACATGCTAGTCTCAAAGACCAAATCAGGAAGTCATTTCCCAATCAGAAATTGCAAAGGAATCGGGGATTGAACATAATAGCAAAATTAGGGTTTGCATGTGGTATTTTTTTTTTTTTTGGACTAACTTTTCACAAATATTTCCTGGAATGGGCCCAAGGAATGAATGTGGATTTAGCCTATTCTTCCGCAGATGGCATTGAATTCACGATGTAGGTCACCGTCTCCCCGATTTTCATCTGGTGGCAACATGTGGCTCTCACAGGGTAAAGCCTGGAGACCATGCTTGACCCCTCTTCCTCAGGGATGCCTTACAGGTCTCCAAGGCTCTTCTTGCTTTGTGCAATTAGGGCCTTGCTCAGCCCTGAAAAGTCCCTGCAACCCTCTACTCAAGCCCTCCACTGCTCTGCTCCCTCTGAACCTTCCTGGGGGTGGGGGTGGGGATGAAGGGCAGAGACATCGGAATTATCTGAACGATGCTGTCTGGTAAGGGAGAACTGGCGGGAAGATCTAGGCTCCCCAATGGACTGCTTAGGCTGGTGCGAGCTCACACGGCCGAGCCCTCTGAGGGGCTCAGGGGACGGAGGAAAAGCTGCTTTTGGTGTTTGGGACTCAGAAAAGCAGAGCTTCATACATACCATGTCGGAGAGAAGGGTCTCTAAAGATGCCGAGACACCCTCATCAGGCAGTCTCAATAGCCTTGTCTGACTTACTAGGGTTTTTTGTTGTTGCTTTTTTAAAGATTTATTTAGCATAGGAGTGTTTGTCTGCTCCTATGTTGGTGTACCCCATGTTTGCTGAACCTGTGAAAGCCAGAAAAGGACATCTGGGAGCGGAGTTACAGATGACTGTGAACCTCCATGTGGGTGCTGGGAATTGAACCTGGGCCCTCTGGAAGAGCAGGTAGTGATCTTAACCACTGTGCCATCTCTCCAGCTCTTACTTTTTAGTTTTCGTTTTGAGATAATATCTCACGAAACTAGTTACATAGCTAAGGCGTACCTTAAACTTTCTAGAATGATTTGTACATCCACAACTTCTCACTGTGTGTATGTATGCATGTGTGTTATATGTACATGTATGTTCAAGGCAGAGGCCAGAGAAAGGCCTCCAGGTGTCCTGTTCTATCACGGTCCGTTGTCCTTACTCTCTGGAGACAAGGTCTCTTACTGGATTTGGAGTTCTGTTGGCAGCCAGAGAGCCCTAATGGTCCTGTCTCTACCCTACATCAGTACTGGGCTCAGAAGAGCACAAAGCGTGCTTGGCTTTTTATGTAGGTTCTGGGGATTCACACTCAGGTCCCCATGCCTGCAGAGCTAGCACTCACGCGCTCTGAGCTTTCTCCCCGTCTACATTTTATTTTGAGTGCTCCCCTGCAGAACTCCAGCTGGAACCCGGGGCCTCTCAGATGCTGGGCGAGTGTCATGTTCTCTCTTCTCTTCCACTGAAGGCACAGAGATAGCTTGTAAGACAAATTTAACTTGAACTCGGAATTTTAAAAAAAATTATACTTTGTGTGCATGTATCAGGGGCACCTCCTATGGGCCACAGTGTACATGTAAAGACCACGTGCAGGTATAAGGTATCTCCTTATACCTTGTGGGTTCCAGGGATTAAACTCCGGTCATCAGGCTTGGTGGCAACGCCTTTACCTGCTGAGCCATCTCACCAGCACTTAGTGAGGAATCCTAAAAAGCCTTCCTCTCCCTCCATTTTCGCAGCACCTCTTAGGTGGTCAGCTGTGTCCAGATGGGGCCGAGTGTCTCCTTCCCAGCCACCAGCTGTCAAAAATTCACTGAAGCGTGTGATGGATGAAAACTGTGTTCTTTTCACCGGAAGCAGCGGCGATGGAACTAGCTGCTGATGTGCTGGGTGAAGAGTGGGAGGGTTATGTGTCGGAATCAGTGGTGAGAGCCACAGAGAAGGTGTTTCCATGAAGCATGGTGTCTTGACCCACAGCAGAGTGTACCTGCTCTTGAGGAAGGGGTATTCTTGTTATAGACCAAGGAGAACTGGGAAGAGAAAGCTCATGTTTGTTCTCAGATGCCAATCTGAGTGTTCTCAACTTGGCTGGAGGAGGAGGAGGAGGAAAAACAACAACAAGAAGAACAACAACAGGAAGAGGAAGGAGAAGGAGAAGGAGGAGGAGGAGGAGGAGGAGGAGGAGAAGAAGAAGAAGAAGAAGAGGAAGAAGAAACTTTCTCTTGGAGGTTTGGAGACAGAAGAGCAAGCAGAACCTGAAAACTTTTCCATCTCTCTAAAGAAGATGATGTCTTCCAATATCTTGTCAGAAAGCCCTTAAACAAGGAAGGTAAGAAGCCCAGGACCAAAGCACCATGATTCAGAGTCTTGTTACTCCACGTGTCCTGTAACACAAACCCGGGAGTGTTGCTCCGAAGAAAGAGTGCACTAAGAAAATCAAGGAGGAGGCTGTAGACTGTGCTGTTTTTCGCCAAGAGAACGAGGGAGTCAAAGAAAAATGCTCCCCCCCCAAAAAAAAAACACAGATTGCCAAGAGACATGGGCTGTCCTCTGTGAATGCTATTTCTAAGACTGAGTCCAGTAAATCAAACAAACAAACAAATAAATAAATGAGTCTTTTTTTAAAATTAAGGCAGGGACTTAATCAATGCAAGCTTAAATAAAAGTCTTTAAGACTGCACATGCATGCACAAATGCGCGCGCGCGCACACACACACACACACACACACACACACAGGCACACAACCTAGCTTCTCAACTGACTGCACGTTTCATGCTCTGGCAGCCTTCAACTCAGAAACCCCACAGTCACAGACTATGGGGCTCAGTGAGGGGCCAGGATACTCTTGCCATGAGTGGTTGCTCAGCCTGGTTCTCAGCAGCAGCAGCAGCAGCAGCAGCAGCAGCAGCAGCAGCGATCAGAGTCTGTGTGGTTCCCACCACGTCTTCCCAGAGCCTAGCTGCCCTGCCTCCAAACACAGCTTTTACGTGCAACATGAGAGTGGTCTTCTTGGAAGCAGCTTTCTTAGAGCAGGACATAGGCAGCCAAGTGTGAAGAATATCAGCAGCCTTGGCCTGCCCTGAGGTGGGGGAGAGGATGTGGAAGCGGCCAGCCGTGGACCAAAAAGGAAGTCCACCCCCCACACCCCACCCTTAGAGAAAAGGAGCGTTCTCCTAGAGTTCCGTTTGCTCCTGACTGCCCCCTAAGTGCTGGATTAAAGCTGTGCACCGCTCTGCCCGGCTGGGGCTGTATCATTGAAGTGTGCCTCCATCCTACTCTTGGCTCGGCTGTCTGCATTCTGCCAAAATCCAATCCTTCTCAACAGTCTGTGGCTACAACAAAATAGTGTTGTCTCCACTCTACTGGTGAAGAAAGGGAGGTGCCCGTGCTGCCCAGTCATGTTTCCCAAGGAGGGGCTCCCAGGACTGGGAAGGGCAGGAAATGCCCTGCCTCCTGATCTTAAGTCTTCTCAGTGCACACCTGTCCGCAGGGAATGAGCCCCACCGTGTCCCTAGCACAGAAGTAGGATGGGTCAGGTGTTACTGAGAATTCAAACACGGTGACAGGGCCCCTGTCATCCTGCCCCTCACCGCCTGGGCTCACACAGGGCAGGGAAGCCTGGATGGAGGTGTTTTAGTGAGCTGTTGGTTCATTACTTCAGCCAGTGTTCTCTGGCTCTTCTGTCAGAGGCTGGGAGCAGGAGACAGGGACAGACAGACACAAAGACAGACAGACGCAAGGAGTGTACCACTGCGCTCCTCCGGAACAAGGGATGAGCGGCTCCTTATTGCTGCCAGGTCCTACCCGACATCCTTGCCTAGCCCACTCATCTGTCTGGGTCTGACCTTTGCCCTCTCAACAGCCGGACTCTGCTCCTGCCGCATTAAGCGTTGCTTAGCTCCTCTATGTGCTGACATCCTTGGGGTCTTTGCACCCCGGGATGGCTTCAGGAAAGTCTCTCTTGAGCGAGGTCCTGAGGAATGAGCAGGTTTCTGAGCAGAAAGTGGTAGTGGTGGGTGGAATTGACAGAAAGGAGTTGGGGGTGCCCTATGAAGAGTAACTGCGGAAGGTTCGCAGAAACGGCGGGATGGCTTAGTGAGTCGGCGAGCCTGAGGACCTGAGTTCCAATCCCCGGGACCGCCATGGCGGAAGGAAGGAAAGAACCCATTCCCATAAGTTGTCCTCTGAGTGCCACGGTGCGGTGTGCACACACTGCATAAATAAATACACGAAAATGATATTTTTGAAAGAAAAAAGGACTTTCTCCTGAGTGGAACTGGGAGGATGGAGACAGGCACTGTGGGTTGTACAGGGTGAGTGTTGGGGAGCTGGAATTGCCTGCAATAATGAGGAACAGAAATGCCGTCCAGGAGCCTGCATGAAGACTCAGTGTGTAAAGGCGCTTGCTGCCAAGCCTGATGACTTGAGTTCGACCCCAGAGACCCACATGGTGGAAGGAGAAAACTGACTCATGCAACTAGTCCACACATACACACACACACACACACACACACACACACACACACACACACACACGAACTGATAAATGCATGTAACAAAACTTTTTTTTTTAATAAAAAAAGAAAGACTGTCCCAGAAGCAAACTGGTATGACATGGTCTGCCGGAGCCCAGAGGCTCAGGATCTGGGTCTAAGCACTTCTCTGGACTTCAGAATCTGTGAAGAAAGCAGCAGCCAGATCTCTCTCCATCTTCTCCAAGTGAAATAGATTCCCTAAAGTTCAGGGGATCAGAGTTGCCGAGCCAGAGAGGAGGCACTCCTGGGAGACAGCCCAGGCAGCCTCTGGGGTGGGCAGCTAGGGGGCTCTTCAGAACCTGGGTGGGTGTGGGAAGACTCCAGCCAGGGGAGGCGTGTGTGCGGGTAGCACAGCCTGGGGGGGGGGGCGCATCAGCGGCCCACCAGGGCAGGTCAAAGCCCTTCGCGATATTCCAGGACAATCTGACCTCACTTCTAGCCTGACTTCAAGTACCATTGTAGGGAAGAAGGCTGGAGTGGCCAGGGATAGGGAACCGGGAGGGATGCTTTCAGGGAGGCGGGGAGGGGGAGGAGAGCCAAAGGCTCTCTTTGGATTGCCCGAGTGACAGAACAAGCCCCTCACGCGGGTTTTTTTTTTTTTCCCTCCCTCTAGTGACCCCATTCTGCCCCGTGGACGTCACTTTTTCTTCTTGGTCCTTTCTTTCTTAGAGCTTCTGCGGAGGAGCGAGTCCAGGGAGGTGGGAAGAGGCTTTTTTTTCTCTCACATGAGCCCTCAGAATTACAGTTCACAAACTATTCAGTAAACTGACCGGCCTCAACCTCCCCTTCAACGGCCTAATCTAAGGGGTGGATCTATGTGTTTTGTTGCCTGTCAGGAACAATCGCAGCGCGGCCCATTACATTTACAGCACGTCCTCCTTTAATTGGTGTAACACGCTGTGGCCTGAAAGGAGAAGAGGCCTACAAAGGCCCCGTGAATGAGCCCTGACTCACACAAAAACACTCTGCAGAAGTTCAGAGCTGGCCACTAACAAGGAGGTAGGGAGTTAGTCTGAAAAGAGGGTGAAGTTCAGAGATGTGTCACCTTGAGGAGCGTCCCATCAAAGCAATGGTCGCATTGACAAGCTGCAGAGAAAAAAAGTTAAACCTTCAACGCCACCGCCACCGTGGACCTGCCTTGCTGGGTTTATTCCTGCACTTGAGGAGGGCCCAGGAAAGGGGGACGCTTTTTTCTCTTCCTCTGGCCCTTAGGCTCTGTGCTACTCTACTCCAGAGAGTTTTTAAAAAGTCAGAATGAAGAAATATACCTTCCACCCCTCTGCTAATAGGATACGCTATTTTAAAAATATGTGAACGAAAAGGCAGAATTAAGGAAGCTGATTTCGGCCTCTGTGGGAACACCGGGTTGTTCTTCACTCTGGTTTGCGCTCCTTTCCCATTTTCCAGGGCGACTTCGGCCGGGGGAAGGGGCTCACTCACTAACGCTCTCCGGGAGCTGCTTTGCGCGTGGATTCCGTGGATTCCGCAGTGGCAGAGGCATTCGCGCGCGCCGTTTGGAAGCATAAGGCTGGGTCTGATGCTGCCTGAAGATATTTTGCTGCTGCCCAGGCGGAGGGAACCGAGCTTTGTACTATTTAGACTCAGTTCCCTCCTTCGGACTGGCACACCCAGAGAAGACCCCTTTGCGGGAAGATCGTGTTCCCACGGTGCAAAATGAGCCGTGCCTAGGACAAGCTAGTGTGCAAAGGCCAGTGGTGAGGGTAAAGGTGGCTAGGTTACACTTTCAGTACCCCCCCCCATCATCGAGACGACTTGGCCCCTCAAAATACCTTCCGGGTTCCGGAGGCCCCAAACCACCCAAATGTGGTGGTGGTGTGGTGGGCCTCCCTGGCCATCCTCTCCTGCCCTCTGCTCCTGGGTTACCTCGGTGGGGGCTCCGTGCCAGGTCAGCTCTGGGCGGACACCTCGGCGGCGGCCGCTTCTCTGGGGAGCTCCCTAGCGCCCCGAGTCCCCCGCCTCCGTGGGCCCCCCTCCTCGCCTTTGTCTTGCGAACGGACCCCCGCCCGCCCCTCGGGCCGCTCCTGTGAACCGCCTGCCCCGTGCGAAGGCGGGGGTACTTTTCAATGCAGCCCGCCGCCGCTCCCTCCGGATTTGTAATCCGCCAAAAAGCCGCTGATTGCTGCAATCGTTACTTTTCATTAAAAAAACTTAGAAGCAATTTGGGAGAACCCTTCTCAATGAATACATTTACCCCCGAACGGTCTTTATTCTCCGCCTCCACTTGATGAGTTTCTCTGGCGAATCCGTTCTTACAGGCACAGAATGGGCAATCCCTTGATCCCCGTCAATTGTCACCCCGAGTCGGGGCCACTTTGACCGCCAATAGTGGGGAAGTCAGAGCTAATCCTCAGAAGGAATCACGGGAAAAGAAAAGCAACAATAACCAAGTCAAGCGTAAAAAATGAAAGAGAAATCTCTATTATCACTCACTACATTTCCCAGCTCGCTTGTCATTCGAGTCAGACACCCGCACAAGAATATGGGGTCGTAGTGGGTTGGTAGACTCACACGACGTCAGGAGAGATGTTTGAGAGCGAAAGGCCTCTCCTCTGCCTCTGCCAAATCCCCCTCACATCCGCCATAA